GAGTGAATGTCACATCCATACAACTTCTTGACTCTCAAGGACCAATAACGAAGAAAGAGTCGGCAACCTTTAAGGATTTGATTGAAGAATTTACAAAGCATTCACGCAAGTATCATAACCCACAACAAGATGTCACTAGAGGTAAAGGAGATGGATGGAACGAGAACATAGCTACGGTTTTGGTAAAATAAAAAAATATGGAGAAGGGGATGACGAAGATGGATCAATCTATCCATGCAATAAGATTTGGATGTGATAATTGTCGTGGGCCACATTTAACGAATGATTGCGATTTGGATGAGCATAGGAACTAAGGCACAAGTATTCTACTCTAGTGATGAAAAATATGGTGAAGAATGGAGAAAGCCCAAAAAAGAGTGGTTACCTTATGAATAGTACAAGAAGCAAAAGGATGAAAATTTTAGACAAACTGTTCGAGGTTTTTACCAAAAAGAAACACCACCTGAAAAGAAATTGGATTTGGAGTCAATACTTAATCGATTTATGGAAGCCTCAAAGAAAATACATGACACTACTGATGCTAATGTGAGAAATCATCAGGCTTCTATCAAGAACATAGAGACTCAACTTGGGTAATTAACAACACTTGTTAACGAGTGATTACCACTCAGAAATACCGACCCAAAATCACAACCTCATGTAATGGCAATTTTCACAAAAAAAAGAAGTTCATTCTGATCCATTTATCATCCATGAAACATTTGGGTTTTGATATGAAATAAAAGTTTGTTTTTCACAAAAACCGGCAACGGAAGACTTTAAAATGACAAGTTTATTTTTACTTCATAACAAAACCGAACCATCATGGATCTATTTATAGACGTTAGAATGAAATAAAATCAACCGTAGGATGTTTTAGAGATAACCTTTGAAGCCTTTGCAACCACTTGGTTTTAGGATGTTGATGAAGATAACAAAAGATCAAAGTGTATGATCTTATCTACAAGTATCCACTATCAACAATAAGGCACTTGGAATGTTAGATCCTTATTGTATTCTTGAGTGTCTGTTAGGTCATAATTTATTGGTTTGGGCTAGGAATCTATCTGTATAGGTCTGATAGGGTTTTGGGTCATGTAATAGGTGTTGTGGTTGTGTTTACGGCCGAGTAGGGTTCACGGCCGTAAACGTGTTTGTAGCTGGTGGTCATATAAATAGTGTGTCAGAATGTGTTAGAGTTAACATTTGGTCAGACGTGTATGTGTCGGTTCCAAGTGTACTAGACGTTTACGACTGTATACAACTGTTAGGGTCGAAATTAGGTTGTAAGATGTCGAAAGTGTAATGTTATTTTACGAAGGCATTATATGTCAAAACTTAATGTTTTAGTCCTTTGTAATATTTTGTATGCATTAATGTTTTCCTATAAGTAGGGAATTTACTTAAAGTTAGACAAGAACAGAGAAGTCTATCTTGTCTATTGTTCTCTCTGTAACCTTTGAAGCATAATACGAGCTGAAAAGAGATCATATTTACATTCAGTGTTCATAATTCTCTTTACTCTGATTTACATTTCATTTCTCGATTCAATACTTCATTAATTTGTATCAGAGCACGAATCATATCTCTACGATCTAAGTTTCATTCTGAATCAAAAGGTTTTTGAACCTACATTGGATTTAAAAGTTTGTGCACCTTTTGAAGTGAAAATTTCTCTTGATCTATATTTGTGATTCGATTATGCAACTGCTTTGTTGAATCGAGTGTTCTGCTTGAAATTTCTGATCGTTTCAACAATTTGGTTTCAAAATCTCTTAAGTTTTTCTAAAAAAAATTCATCCGTACATTCATGGAAAATTTCAACTTGAACTCAATGACATCCTATTCTCATCTGCTAGGTTCTTCAACAAAGATTCCTATGCTTATCCCTAAATACTATGATCAGTGGGTTGGTCGTATGCAATACTATTTGAACGGGATTGATGAGGAGCTTTGGTCATGTATAACTGGAAATGGAAATCCTCCACCAAATGTTCAACCAATTGGATCTTCTTCTAGTACTCCAAGTGTTGAAACTCAATCTGATCAACTGAAAAAGCTTGAGAAAAGATGTATTAGAGAATTACGTGGTGCTTTGCCTCCAGTGGTCTATGACTATGTCAGAAGTTGTAAAACTTCAAAAGATATCTGGAACACTCTCAAAGAAAAGTTTCAAGTAATTGAGAATACTAAGATCAATTCTGTGAAACATTGTTTGATTTAACTAAAAGTATTCAAACAAAAGGATGGTGAATCGATTGAAGGCTACTATGATAGGCTGAATGAATTCATCTACAAGTGTAATCGTCATGGAATTAAATGAACGACCATGGAATTCAATCTTACATTCATCATGGGTTTGCGTAAAGAATGGAAGAATGTGACACTAATGGTAAAAACCCAGCAAAGCTTCGACACATCGACACTAAATGAACTATACAATCTTCTGAAACCTCACAAAGCAGAAGTGAATGAGATGGATGAAGAGTCGAAACTAACTTTGGGAGGTCCATTGGCACTAGTTTCGAAAGTTGCTGAGAAGGAGCAGATTGAAAATGAAAGTTCTGATGAAGAAGGTTTTATCATAAATTCAGATGATGATGTTGTTGCTTTTTACTTTAATAATAGAGTAAAGAAGTTTTTCAAGAAACCTTTCAATTCTAAGTCGAAAATTGGTGAGGGAAAAGAAAATTTTGTGTCGAAAGCTGGAGGAGAAGAGAAAAAGAAGAGTGAAAAGAAGGACGTGGATAAAGAAGAGTTGAAAGTTGAGAAGAAGCTTAAAGGAGATTCTAGCATTGATTGTCACTACTACCAAGGAGCAAATCATATGGCTAGTGATTATCCACTTCGTAAGAAGGAGGAAAAGAAAAACAAGATAAAAGACGAAGCATACTATGTTTAGCGTTTGGAGGAAGTACGGGCAAAAGTGAAAGGAATTTCTCTGGTGGCGAAGGGTGGGATGATGATGAGGGAACATAACAGATTTGGTCTTCTGGTTCGGATGATGAGGAGAAGATTAATCCAATGCATGGTTCTTTGTATGCAAAGTATGAGGAGGAAGATGACGAAGTGGAGACTGATCACTATTTTATGACCAAAGGAGTAGACAAATATCCAAAGACCACCAAGTTATGTTCTATTCTTCAATCATTTAATCTTCCTTTGAATGCTTATGATTCTGAATTGATTGCTTTTAATGATATTGTTTCTTATTTTGATACATTGATCATCTCTTCTAGTAACAAAGCTATGAAATCAACTTCTCAGTTACTAGAAGTGCAGGAGCAGTTAGATTCCAAGAAGCTAAAAGTTGAATATTTAGAATTACAAATAACAAATTTGATGTGTGATAGGGATTCATTAAGTAGTGAAGTGAAAATGTTATTAGCCCAACACAATATCTATTGTAATTCTGCTAAACGTCTTTATGCCAAATTAATTGCTTTTCATCATTCATCTAACATAAGCAAGGAACAACATAGAAAATTATTACCTTTTCTAGTTTACGAAAAAGATAAAGTTGATTGCATTTCTTATGATTGTGAGAAAACCATTGCAGACTTTGATAAAATTACTGATGATAGATATGCTTATGGAATTGTGAAAATTGACGAATATCTTGATGCAAACGAATTAGTTGATATTGTGAATGATACCATGACTAAAACTAAACAAATTAAAATTTTCAAAAGGAATGAGAATTGGAAATCTAACTCTCAATCTAATTTTTCTAATATCGAAGATAATTCTGATTGTTTTAGCAAAATCAATGAAATTGGGGAAGAGGAAAGTATCGATTGTTCTCAGTTATCTATCATTAATGTCACATCTAAGACTAAAGGTAAAGAAATGTGTAATGATTCATTGGTTAAGATTGATACTGACAAACCCTCAACTTCGAAAGTTTGTGATTTCGACCATGTGAGTGTCAGAGATAGTCAAACAGACAGCGGTAATGACGAAAATGATGATGAAGTTTCGAAAAATTCAAAATCAACAAAAACAAATTGAAAAGAAACAGAAATTCCATGAATTGTTGTTGATCAAGTATATGGAGATACAGAAAAATTCGATAAAGTAATGACTATAAAAGGAGCTCATTATCTCGAAAAAAAAAATACAGTGGTGTATCCTAACTTCAAGTGCACATATGATGTTATTTTTCCAAATCAAGTGTTTTTCACTACTGGGAATGTTGATAAAATAAAACCTGAATTCAACAAAATGATTGAAGAAGATAACAAGAAAACATCTGATGAAGGTTTCTTTTCAAATCAAATTATTGTCGAAAATAATCTAACAAAGAATTCTTATATTTTTCAAAGACAAAAACAACGAAAATGGGTTGAAAAACAAAAGGTTTTAAAAGAAGTTTAAAAACCAGTTGTTGAAAATGCTGAAAAAGTTGTTAAAACATCACAAAGAAAATGGGTTGAAAAACAAAAGGAATTTAAAGTTATTAAAATGTTGAAAAAGTTCTTAAAAATCAATTCAAAGGAATTTAAAGATCAAGTTGAAAAGTTTTCGAAAGATAATACCATTTCAAAGAGACAAGCAAGAAAGAAATTTTTTGGAAAAATATTGAGTCTCGAATGGAACAAAAAGGTTTAAAAACCAACTTGTTTGAATACACAAAGTCTAAATCTATTTAGACAATTTCAGCAACAAAGTCAGATAATCAGAAAAATAAAGTTCAATTTAAAAAATCTCTGTCTAAATCAATTTCACAAAATACCTTTTCGAAATCTAAATCTCAAACAATCACACATCTTACAAATCATTCAAAGAATTTTCAAAATCGATTTTCACAAAATGAAGATGTTTTAGAAAAAGTTATCAATCGAAAATATGAAAACTTTCGTCCTAAATCAAATATTCATTTCACTCCACAACATCCAAAATTTCCAAATCCATCAGTAAACCAAATTTCGAAAGTTTCATACACTAAGGGTTTCTCAAATGTGACGAACATCAACCATTGGCTTGAAGGCAAAGGAAAGATGTATCAATCACGAAAATTCTCCCAACAAAAAATTAAAGACGCTGATGAGAAGTATCTGAATGATTTTTCGAATGGAAGCACATCTTCGAAAGAATCAAATATTTCAGTGAACGTTTGGAAACTAGTTTCAAAGGTAAAGCTAGTTGAAAAACAAACTGAGACGATGAAGATGTATGTCAGTAGCAATCCTAAACCTTCGAAACATTATGTTTATGTTCCTTTATCCAATGATGTGAACTTAATTGATAATTTCAAATCAAAAGTTCGTAATTGGGTTCTAGGTTATTCATTTCATTCTGTTTTTAACACTAATTTCCAAGGACCCAAACAGCCTTGGGTACCTAAATTCCTTCATTAATTGTAGGTTTTGTCTGACAAGCAATATGATGATAAATGGTACATTAATAGTGGTTTCTCTCGTCTAACTGGAAAGAAGGAGAATTTGTGTGATTATCGAAGTTTATAGAATGCATGAGTAGTTAAGTTTGGAAACAATCATAAGTGTCAGGTGAAAGGATATGGCAATGTAACGAATGGCAAGTTTATTGTTAATAGAGTGACATATGTCGAAGGTCTTCAATATAACTTGATAAGTGTTTCGCAACTTGTTGTGGGCACTGGTAATCAAGTGGTGTTTACAAGAAGGTAGCATTATTTCGAATGTCAATACAAAAGAAGTTTTTCTCAAATCCACAAGAAAAGGAGACATGTTTACTCTGGATATCAATCCTCTTATTGGCAAACCATCACTGTGCTTAATTTCGAAGCTTCATCTAACATTAGTTGGCTTTGGCATTGCAGGATTTCATATCTGAATTTTTGAAATTTGAACAAACTTGTGGTTCAAGATCTGGTACGAGGATTACCTGTGTTAAAGTTTGATAATGATACTTTATGTGCAACCTGTGAATAAGGAAAGAAGCATAAACAAGGTCATCCAATATCCATCAATTTAAAAATTGTCGAACCATTGGAGTTACTTCACATGGATTTATGTGGTCCATTGATAGTTGCAACTCTTAACAAGAAACAGTACATTCTCGTTATGGTTGATGATTTTTCTCGATTTACTTGGGTTTATTTTTTTAGGTTGAAATCTGAAGTTGCATAAATCATGATTGATTTTATCAAAAAGATGGAAACAAGCTTAAAGAAGAAAGTTTGAAAGATCAAAAGTGATCATGGTTCTGAATTTAAGAGCAATGTTCTTGATTCATTTTTAGTGGATAAAGGAATTTCGCATAATTTCTCTTCACCATATACACTGCAAAACGGTGTTGTTGAAAGGCGAAATCGATCTCTTTGTGAAGCTGCACGAATAATGCTCATTTATGCAAATCTTCCTTAATATCTATGGCTGAAGCAGTTTCAACTGCATGTTTTACTCAAAACAGATCTTTCATTCATCGATGTTTCAACATCACACCTTATGAAATAATCCATAACCGAAAACCTAATGTCAAATTCTTTCATGTTTTTGGTTGCATGTGTTTTATAATGAATCTCAAGGACAATCTTTCGAAATTTCAGTCCATAGTTGATGAAGGGATTTTCTTGGGATATTCTCATAATTCGGTTGCATATCGAGTGTTGAATAAATGAACAAGGAAATTTGAAGAGACTATCAATCTCACATCCGATGATTTTTATGTCAAACAAGTTGATAAATGTTTCAAACAACAACCAATTATTAATGAATCAAATGATGCATCTAATAGTCTAGATTCATGTGATCTTGATTATGATTTAATTTTTGTAATTCCTGACAGGGCTGCAGATGTTGAGATAAATTTTCTAGATAATCAGATTTCTGAATTGTCAAAACATTCTGATTTTCCGTCATCTACCCTAGTTGCCATTATTGATCAATTGCAATCATCTTCCTCTGAAAATGGCGAAAGTATGCTTAATAATCAAGTGATGGAGGAGCACTTACCCTTGAATTCTAATGTTGAGGGGGAGCATTCTTTTGCGGGGGAGAATAGAAGAATTGATGATAATGTCGAGGGGGAGCAACACGATAATGAAACTGTCGAGGGGGAACAAAACATGTCGACTAACAATCACGATGAAATTTGTCATGATCTATATGATAATGTTTCTGTTACAGTTTCTGAAAATGACGAATTGTTAGAAGATGCTTCTTTAGATTTTGATCTAGCATATCCTCCAATGGACAAACGGGTTAAAATTCATCCAAAAGAGCAAGTCATTGCAAAATCTTCAAGATGGAGTGTTGACAAGAGCTCATATTCGTGAAAAGAATGAGGTACTTAATGCTCATCAAGTGTTTTGCATGTTCAATATTTTTATTTCGAAAGTAGAGCCTAAGACAGTTAACACTACAATGGAACACTCATATTGGGTTGTTGCAATGCAATCTGAATTAACTAAATTTGAAAGAAACAAAGTTTGGAGGTTAATTCCTAAAATGAAAATGTTTCAATTGTCGGATTAAAATGGATTTTCAAAAATAAAACCGACAAAGATGGAAATATTGTTCGAAATAAAGCAAGACTTGTTGTAAAAGGATATTCGGAACAAGAAGGTATCGATTACAAAGAAACATTTGCCCCTGTCGCAAGACTCGAGGCTATTCGAATATTTTTGGCTTATACAGCTCCTAAAGATTTCGATGTATATCAAATGGATGTGAAATGTACTTTTCTCAATGGTGAACTTGAAGAAACATTTTACGTTGAACAATCTCCAGGTTTTGTAAATGAATAATTTCTTGATCATGTTTATATCTTAGATAAAGTTGTTTATGGGTTAAAACAAGCACCAAGAGTCTGGTATGCAACTCTTACCAATTTCCTAAAACAATCAAAATTTAAACAATGATTAGTTAACCCTACATTATTTCGAAAGAAAGTTAGGAATCATCTAATGCTTGTTCATATTTATGTTGATGACATTATTTTTGGCTCTACTGACCCTACTTTATCTAGTGAATGTGAAAAATTGATGAAAACCAGTTTGAAATGAGTATGATGGGCAAAATAAACAATTTTTTGGGCATAAATATTCAACAAAGTAGAGAAGGCATTTTCATCAATCAAGAAAAATATACCAAGAATTTTCTCAAAAAATTTGAATGACAAATAGCGCAAAGTTGAGAGTACCAATGGCAGTTGGAACAAGGCTAACTCCTTCGTTAGATAAACCAGCTGTTGATCTCACTTTATACAGAAGCAAGATTGGTTCATTACTTTATCTAACAACTAGTCGACTTGATATCATGTTTTTTGTTTGTAATTGTGCTAGGTATCAAGCAAATCCAAAAGAATCACATTTAATTGCTGTGAAAAATGTATTTTGTTATCTTAAAGGATCAATTTCTTTAGGATTGTGGTATCCTTCAAAATCAAGATTTTTTGTTCAAGCTTTTTCAGATGCAGATCTAGGAGGGTGTAATCTTGATAGAAAGAGTATAAGTGGAGGATGTCAATTATTATACGGGAAACTTGTAAGTTGGCAGTCAAAAAAGCAAACTTGTGTTGCAATTTCCACTGCTGAAGCAGAGTATGTTGCAGCTGCTGCTTACACTTCACAAATCATATGGATCCAGAGTCAATTGCATGATTATGAAAATAATATGAAAAATATTCCATTAATTTGTGATTCACAAAGTGCTATACGCATTTTTTATAATCTAGTACAACATTCGAAACCAAGCATATTGCTCTTCGATATCATTTCATAAAAGACCATTTTGTAAAGACAACTAATCAGCTTGCTGATATCTTTACAAAATGATTGGATGAAAAACATTTTTTAGAATTTTGACAGAATTGAGAATGATCAAAGGAGGTTCAGTACAAAAGAATAATATGATGAAGAAGATGGACAACTGTCAAAAGTCAAAGGTTACTCTTCATAGTCAACGCTTCGACACGCTTTGATTTCGACATTTTGATGATTTGTTCAAATGAATAACATTCGCAAGTTAGTATTTTTTTTCTTTTTTCAAAAATCAAAAATCCAAAAAGATTTTACTTTTGTGTTGTCTTTAAATTTTCAAAATATCAAAAATCCAAAAACATTTTACTTTTGTTTTGTCTTTAAATTTTTGAAAAATCAAAAACACCAAAAAGATTTACTTTTGTTGAGTTTTTTTTCGAAAAATCAAAAACAACATAAATATTTTTTTGTTTGTTTCATATTGTTTTTCTAGTTGTTTGTTGCATATTACCATGATGAGTCTTATTGGTTCATGTTTGCAGTTCTAGGGTCAGGTATTCTTTCGAAAATTTTGGACTAGTTAGGTTGTCCCTAGAAGCATGTTGCAGCATGTCGACCCAAGCCTCCATTGACTCAATGTGTGTTTACGAAAGCCTTAATGAAATATTTCATTACGAAAATTTCTTCCCAATCAGGCTTATATTCACATTAGTCCACTGAGCTACCTTACTCTTCTCACATGAGTTAAGAGTTTACTGTTTTGTCCAACTATAACAGAGGTACAATTCGATTCTTAAACCAATCTTTTTCATCCCAAACTTCTAACACAATCACACACTATGACATATATCCAAGAGATCTTTAATCAAACCAATCAAGATTTACACATATCAAAACTTTGTGTTCATGATCTGGATTCATTAGACCGTGATGAAAGTGAAACCCATTTTCCAATCTTTTAAGGAATTGACAGGGAATTATGTTCCACATTTTCACGAAACATTTCTTTCTGTATTGATTTTTCGATACTCAAAATCATTTTCTTTTGATTTGAGAGATCTTGATTAAATGCTCTTAACCCATGACATGTGTTTCCTAACACGATCCAACTAAATGCTTTTATTATGAATATGATTTCAGTTGGAGTATTAATTCTTATCTTTTGTCACTTCAAAAATCATCCAATTCTACTTGTCACTGACTACACTGGTCAAACAAGTAATTTCAGTTACAATTAATCACATTTATGTTAAGTGTTGATATGTAAGGAAATTTTAAACCACCCATAGAGCTTCTTCAAAAGAGACACTTCGGTACTTCTCTATAAGTATTCGATTGTAACTCATGGGAAAACACACAAGCAATTAATCATCTCTCTTGATGATTAATGAAGCAACCTTTGCCTGGGGTTTATCTGCTTTATTGTCGAACATTTATGTTTCGACATCACAAATCCAAAAATTTTATTGTTTACTTCTTATCTCATTTTTTTACACATTGCACTCACGAAATCCTTGAGGTTCTGAGTATTACCAACTCAGGATGATGATTTCGACAGTCTGGCATATGACTTCGCTTTTCATCCTAATAGTGAAAGAGCCTTACTTCCATTCCGAAGGTTTGTGGCGGTTACTATTCCATTGGCATGTGTAATCAGGCTGTTTAACAAGACGCTTTGTATTCTTTCTGGGTTTCAAGGAGATGTGATGGTTACTTTATCATGCATGGCTAGTTTCTCGGCATGAGGGTATGATTTTCAAGGTGCCACATTGGATTTCATTTAATGTTGATCCCGCTTCACATTTAAATTCAAGGATCACCTATAAAAGGGGTTTCAAGGGTTCTTCATTCGGTTACGCTTTCTAACATTCCCAAATTACCAAAGAACTCCATACTCATTCTTCAAGCTTTAAACCCTAATCAAGGCTAATCCTACTCATGCTGATGCTGATGGGTTTTAGCCATAAGAACTTTCCTATGTGCGCATGCAAAACCCTAATGCTCGGATCTAGGCTTTCTAATTAAACATGCTTTGAATCCAAGACTTCTAATGGCTAATTAGGTTAAATAACAACATTGAAATAGATCTAGAACCATACCTTTGAATTCCTTGTTGATATTGTTGTCTTGGAGCTTCTAGAGTCACAAATGTCACTCCTCTAATGGCTTACAAACACCAATAGCAAGAAAGATGATTTAGGAGAGAGGAGAGGGGAGGAATTCGGCCAGAGTATCTCTACTTTTGATGGTGTGTCGAATTCCCTCACCCCTAGGGTCTATTTATACTTGTAGACTCCTTAAGGATTACAACTTTAACCCTAATTGGATAACTTAGACTTTAAGTTGATCCATATCCTTTCCTTGATAACCCTATGGACGATTTTGGCTTATCCAAGCCCTAGAAATCGTCCATCCTATCTTGGATAAGGATTTATAGTCTAAAGTGTAACTATCAAACAATTGACAGTTTATACCCTCTTATTTAATTAATCTCTTTAAGTCACCAAATTAATTCCAATTAATCTATGACTTATATTAATCAAATAACCATATATTATTCCTTATAATATTTACTCTCTCTTAACAAATCATCCATCAAGTTGCTGTGGTGAAGGCAACCTAAAAGGACCATGCACAACCGGGTCAAATACTTGCCTAATATAGTTGCAGCCTTAGACACTATTCCAACAGATGCTCCATCTCAAACTACTGAATATGTTTCTTCTCAACCCATTACGAAAATTCAAAGTACAAACTATCAAGTAGAGGGTGATGTTTATGTGTACCCAGAGGCACTGCAAATGTTAATCGTAGCTCTAAAACGATCTATTTTATCTACTTCAATGTTCAACTCTTTCGATGTTCCATTATCCTGGCTATCACTAGCAAGGTCAACAACAACCTACAGTAAAGCTTTGGATGTGATTACATTCAACCTGGTGAATGAGAAGAAGGTTCGTCTTACCAAGAAGCTATTTTGTCAAATTCTTGATATTCCTAATTCTCCATTATACTTAGCTCTTACAAATGCTCAAGTGATCCACATGTTCAACGAGATGGGTCATCAACCCCAACTTACCAAGATTAGTGAGTTCAAGAAGTCTGGTCTTCCTAGTCTTTGGAGTTTTCTCTTTGGTATCTTTCTTCGATGTCTTACCAGTCGGAGTGTTTGATTGGACAAAGGAAGGATGGAAGTTTATGTTATGGTTATGGGTATTTACTATGATCTGGCTGTAGATTATTCGACACAAATGTGGAAAGAGTTTTTGAAGAGTGTCGAAAATAAAAATGTTGTACAAGGGATTTCGTGTGCACGGTATTGGAGTTTAATTCTTCGATATATGTATGAAAAAGAAGGGATTGAGGTGCCTGCTGATGAACAAAAAGCTGAATTTTTGAAGTATAACCTCCCAAAGATGATTGTGAATGATGAAGAGGTGTTTCCTAATATTTCATGAATTCCAGACACAATGCTCAAACGTGTTGATCCAACGAATTTGATATTAATTGAGTATTTGATTTTGATTAATCCGAATATCGAAACAGGAGTTTTATTGGCCAAACCAGATGAAGGTTCTTCAAAGAAATATCACAGATCTAAGAAGGGTGATAAGTCTACAGCTGAGCAAACTGTAAATGAGCCTGTTGTCAAGAAATCTTCAAAGAAACAACCTGAGGTGATGGTGCAAGTTTCGAAAGATGTTACAAAGGCTTTTGAAACTAAAGTTGTTGAACCAGTTATCGAAATTGTTCCTTCGAAATCTAGTGTCCTCAAAAGACTGAAGATGAAAGCTCGTGGTTCACGAAAGTCTCTAGAACGATTTTTGAGTTTTTCTCCATCTGTCACATGCAAGCCTCATGTCACTCGAAAAGGGGTTATCATTCGAGAAGTTCAAGCCCCAGTTTCTCCTTCATCAAAGAAAAGAATAGCTACAGATATGGCCAAGAAAATTTCAATGAAAATCAAAAGGCGAAAGTTGGTTCTTCAAAAGGTCTCATCATAAGAAGAAGAAGTTCTTGAAACTCCTGAAGTTGTTCTTTCAACACGCATTTCGACTTTTGAGTAGACTTCGGTTATACCACCCGAGGTTTCGTTAACCAAGTCATCTCATGAAGAGGTTCGAATCTCAGACATTATTACACACGTATCTGATACGGATGTAAATGTCACTATGGGTGAAGGTGATTCGACTAAACAACCTCCCATGATAACTCAAGGTATTATTGAAACTTCTAGTGTCAATACCCTTGTTTCCGTACCACCATTTATCATTCCTACAATTCCAGTCTCATCTTCACCAACTTTTGATCATATTATCAATCAACCCATCACTTCATTATTCTCTTCACAATCTACTGATCCACTCAAATCTGTTGGTGATACCGAAACTGATGATGGAGGTTTTGGAGGTACTTTTGATGATCTTGAATTTGATCCAGAAGAAGAAGACACCCCAAATCACATGTTAATGTTCGGGAAGCATGTAACAGCCGGATTTTATCAGGTATCTTGTTTATTGTATTTTGTTGATTTGTGGGGGGACTCGGCGAGTTGGAGCTCAGACTCGCCGAGTAGGGACGCGGATCTGGACACGGGATCGCGCCTAGACTCGACGAGTCCAGGATATGGACTTGGCGAGTCAACGCTGTGTAATGAAACCCTAATTTCTCGGGTTTGAGACTTATTTAAAGGGCCTAATGGCCGTCATTTGTGCTCACCAGCCCCTTGAGTGAAACCCTAATCGAGTGTGAGCATTTGGAGCTAAGTAGGAGGCCATTATTGACCTTGGAGGTGCCATTGTTGCAAGGAAGGAGAAGAGCTAGCCAAGGGAAAGCAAGAGGAGCCACTTCTGTGGGTTTGGAGTCCAGAGCATCACTTTTGTGGTAATAAATCCGAGTTACCTTCTTCCTTGTTGTTGTTTATCTAGATTTAGGGTTTGTTGAACCCTTTTATGGCAAGATTTAGTGTCCTCTTGGTCCCTTATGAGGTTTGAACCATAGATCTGGACCCTTAGAGGTCCAGAGTGTCCCTTTACCCAAGCTTTTTGGGAATCAATGGAGGCTTTGGATTGGAATCCTCATGCCTTAGGTCAAAAACTCCATTTATGAGCTATAGGGTGTGTTATGAGCACCAAGATAGGAGCTTTACGTGATGAATCAGTCGAGGGAGGCCAGATCTATAGTTTTTGGAAGCAGATCTGACCTTAGAAGCAAGTTGGAGTGGTTGCATGGCATGGACTCGCCGAGTCTGTTCATCCGACTCGGCGAGTAGCTTGAAGATTGCCTTGGGACTGCTCAGCGAGTGGTCCAATCGAGTCATGGGTAGACTCAGTGAGTCAGGGTGAGTTGGAGAGGGATGACGAGTGGACTGAGTCAAACTTGGACTCGCCGAGTTGTCCTTGAGACTCGGCGAGTTGAGTCGGGGTGGCCCCGCGATTCATTCAGGTGAAACTCGTCGAGTAAAGGGGGGAATACTCGACGTGTAGTAAGGGGATTTCAGAGGGTTGGTGAAAACGTCTAGACTCGCCGAGTCCGATCAGAGTTGACCGTTGACCGTTGACCGTTGACCGTTGACCAGAGTTGACCTGTGTTGACTTCTTACGGATAGTCAACCTTAGAGATATAAAGTGTTAATTAGAAACATATAATGTTATAGGAGGATTAGAGCTCGGAGGATCGAGCACGAGGGATTTCCAGGATTCGTGAGATACCGAGATACGCGAGGTGAGTCTTCTCACTATACTATATTACCTTGAGTAGGTAACCAGAGTTATGTGATAGAGTATTTGTATGCTATGTATGTTATGTGTTGTACTGCATTATTTCTATGTGATTTATGTAGTGCATGTTTATCAGAGCTAGAACCTGAGGGTTCACAGAGTTTGGGTGCACGGACCCACAGAGTTATAGCCTCGAGTGGCTAATATGTGTTATATGTGGTATTTTGGGGAACTCACTAAGCCTTGTGCTTACAGTGTTTGATGTTATTGTTTCAGGTACTAGTGACGACCGCGGGAAGGCGCCGGCTTGATCCGTACACACACACTCGGAGTTTTTACATTGTGATCTTGGGATTTTGTATTAACCTATATTGGATAATTAATATGGTTGTTTGATGAATATTAATCGAATTATGTTTTATAAGAAAATTGAAAATTTGTTTTGAAATTTACGGTGTTACAATTTGGTATCAGAGCCTTGGTTTGAGGGATTCGGGTACACCTTCGGGAGTATTTGAACTCAAACTGAGGAATTGGAAAGATATTTTCAAAAGAAAACCTAACTTTTCTAAGAGTAAAAGATTTTCTTGAAAAGAAACAAATTCCAGGAAGAAACGTGTGTACGATCAGTCAGCGCCCGAACGGTGAATTCCCAAAATACCTTTATATTACGTGATATTAATATTGATATGATGTATCTGCATGCTAGAGTAGGCTAGGTATTGCTAATAGGACTAGAGTGGCCTGATTTGTGATGCCTTAGCCTAGGGAGGGGTGAGCTGCTATGAGATGCTGAGAGTGAGTAGGTAGCAGCAAGGGGTTTATGAGAGATCTATTAGAGAGTGGTCTACGCATGATAGAGTACTTGGGAATTGGGATCCGAAGAGGAAGGTTTGGGGTGTGTACTGAGACGGTGTGGACAGTAGTATTGGGCCCGTACTACTGAAAGCACCGGGGCAGTACACAGTCCAAATAAGAATCTTGGGATACCAAGAATCAAGGAGGGGTGGATTGTCGAGTGTAAGAATGTTCGAGTGAATTCTAATTTATCGCATGTTGTATTTCAGAGGTTGATCATGGTGAGGACACGTCATATGCCGGAGGGTGCCGGAGCTAGTGATGAGGAGATTCGACAGATCATTCATGAGGAGGTGGCTGCGGTCATCAGAGCTGAGATACCAGAGATGTTCGGGTCTATTAAGACCGCGCTGATTGAGACATTTGACGAGCGTTATGCCGCTCTTTCTGAGGCTGCTGTTGCAGCGGCTACCGCAGCGATCGCTGCGGCGAGACCCCAGGGAGGTGATGCGTCACTGTTTCGGGAGTTCAGCAACACCAAACCACCAGAGTTTGATGGTACACAGGATCCGGTGGCAGCTATGAGGTGGATATCTGATATGGAGGGGTGCTTCTTCACTTGCTCATCTCCTGAGCATCTGAAGGTTCGGTTCGCGCTGAACCAGCTTCGCTTGGGAGCGAAGGACTGGTGGAAGTTTGTGACGCGCATTTCACGTCTGCTGAGCTTTCGGCAGTGACCTGGGAGAGGTTCACTACCATGTTCCGAGATGAGTACGTTCCCCAGGTGGAGAGGGAGCGTTTGGCACAGGAGTTTCTGACCCTCAAGCAGGGTACTGAGTCAGTTACAGCGATCACGAGGATGTTTCATGAGAGGGCGATGTTCTGCCCTGAGCACGTGTCCACTGAGCAGGCACGTATGAGCCGCTACCTGAGCATTTTGAGACGGGATATTCGGGAGTTCACCGCGAACTCCTCGTATCGGACATTTGCTGAGCTTCAGGCAAATGCCCGGAAGAGGGAGATTGAGCTTGAGACTCAGGCCAGGGAGGAGGCGGAGTCTCTAGGGAGGGATCGGCGGCCGGCACAGCTCCAGCCGGCAGCCAAGCGGGCCAAGCCCGCTGATCCCAAACCCGGGAGCCAGAAGGGCCGCACTTGCGGGAAGTGCGGCAAGGGTCACGATGGAGTCTGTCGAGCAGGATCTTGCTACAAATGTGGCAAGGAGGGGCATATGGTGAAGGACTGCCCCAAGGGGTTTGCAGTGTGTTTTCACTGCAACCAGACCGGACACCGGAAGGCGGAGTGTCCGCTGCTGCGCGGAGCATCTCAGGGATCTGCTCCCGCCGCCATCAGAGCTACAGAGAGTCGGCCCGTGAAGGCCGAGGCACCGAGAGCTCGAGGGAGAGCCTTTCAGCTGACTGCGGAAGAGGTCCGCGCTGCACCCGACGTTGTGGCTGGTACGCTTCCTTCTATATATTTATTTTTGGTGTTGAGATATTATGCTTATATTATGTTATGCATAGGTACCTTCCTTGTGTGCGAGTCGGTCTTTTGTATCTTTGGCCTTTAGTCAGCATATCAGTGTTAGTAGTGAGGCATTGAGTCGGCCTCTGCGGATTTCCATAGCTGCCGACAGAGTGATTTGTGCCATGGAGGTCCTCCGGGGATGTGTGTTAAAGATTTTTGGGGTTGGGTTTCCGATCGATCTGGTTCCTATTGCGATGGGTGATGTCTGTGTCATAGTGGGCATGGACTGGTTGAGCCGATTCGGCGCGGTTATCGACTGCGAGCGTCAGCTGGTGACCATACGAGATCCTAGTGGGGGAGTTCTTTCGGTGTACGGCGAGGGTACACGTTCTGGATCAGCCTTTTGTTCTGCCGCTAGGGCGAGGCAGTGTTTACAGCAGGGCTGTAAGGGTTTTGTGGCGTATGTGATGGATACGCGAGTGATCTCCGAGAGACCGAGTTCAGTGGATGAAGTTCCGGTGGTGCGTGAGTTTCCAGATGTTTTTCCCGAAGAATTACCGGGTGTGCCTCCCGTGAGGCAAGTGGAGTTCAATATCGATTTGGTTCCGGGAGCCGCGCCTATCGCTAAGGTGCCTTATCATCTTGCACCTCCAGAGATGCAAGAGTTATCCTCGCAGCTTCAGGAGCTGCTGGGGAAGGGGTTTATTCGGCCGAGTAGCTCGCCGTGGGGAGCACCCATTCTATTTGTGAAGAAGAAGGACGGCTCGCATCGAATGTGTATTGATTACCGAGAATTCAATAAGCTGACGGTCAAGAACCGTTACCTGTTGCCGAGGATCGACAATTTATTCGATCAGTTACCGGGAGCATCTTGGTTCTCCAAGATCGATTTGAGGTCGGGCTATCATCAGGTGAGAGTGCGGGACGAGGACGTCCAGAAGACAGCATTCAGGATGCGTTATGGGCATTATGAGTTTGTGGTGATGCCTTTTGGGCTCACCAATGCCCCGGCTGTGTTCATGGACCTCATGAACAGGGTATGCAGGCCGATGTTGGATCGGTCGGTGATTGTATTTATCGATGATATTCTGGTATATTCGAGATCTAGAGAGCAGCATGAGGAGTATTTGAGGGAAGTTCTTGGAGTTTTGAAATCGGAGAAACTTTATGCAAAGTTTTCCATGTGCGATTTCTGGTTGCGGGAGGTCCAGTTTCTGGGGCACCTCGTTAATCAGAAAGGGATATCGGTCGATCCGGCCAAGGTTGACGCGGTGATGAGATGGGAGGTGCCAAAGTCACCCTCTGAGATCAGGAGCTTCCTTGGGTTGGCAGGGTACTATCGGAGGTTTATCAAGGATTTCTCCAAGATCGCAGTGCCACTCACCAGATTGACCCAGAAGGGTGTTACATTTTTATGGGGTCCCGAGCAGCAGACCTCCTTTGAGACGCTTCGCCAAAGGTTGTGCGAAGCTCCGGTATTAGCTCTTCCGGAAGGGATGGAAGATTTTGTGGTATTCTGTGATGCATCGATTTTAGGGCTGGGAGCGGTGCTGATGCAGAAGGACATGTGATAGCATATGCATCGAGGAAGTTGAAGCCTCATGAGACGAGATATCCCACACATGATTTAGAGCTGGGGGAAGTGGTGTTCGCTGTCAAGATTTGGCGACACTACTTGTATGGGGTTCGTTGTACGATATACACGGACCATAAGAGCTTGAAGTACTTGATGGATCAGCCTAACCTAAATATGCGGCAGAGGAGGTGGTTAGATGTGGTCAAGGATTATGATTATGAGATCTTGTACCACCTGGGCAAGGCTAATGTGGTAGCCGACGCATTGAGTCGCAGGGCAGAGAGTACTCCACTGCGAAATGTATGTTTGAGATTGACCGTGATAGCTCCAGTTCTGGACGCCATTCGTGGGGCACAGGCCGAGGCTGTGCATCCAGAGATGTAGAAGAGAGAACGGGTCGTTGGTTTGGTTTCTGAGTTTGTGTCGGATAGTCGAGGGCTTATGACTTTTCATGGCCGGATTTGGGTACCGTTTGTGGCTAATATGTGTTATATGTGGTATTTTGGGGAACTCACTAAGCCTTGTGCTTACAGTGTTTGATGTTATTGTTTCAGGTACTAGTGACGACCGCGGGAAGGCGCCGGCTTGATCCGTACACACACACTCGGAGTTTTTACATTGTGATCTTGGGATTTTGTATTAACCTATATTGGATAATTAATATGGTTGTTTGATGAATATTAATCGAATTATGTTTTATAAGAAAATTGAAAACTTTGTTTTGAAATTTACGGTGTTACAAAGCAATTCAAGATTCTAAACAAGAAGCTTAACTCTATTCTTCAATCTCAAGCTGATGTAGGGGGTAGGAATTTTGTGTCTAGTATTGAAGTGGATGTGATGTTGAAAGCACAAGAAGCTAGATTGCTTAACAATTTCACTGGCTTGTTTCAAGACTCTGAATCTCGAATTCATGAGAAGGTGGATTTTAATGATAAAAATAATGAGTTAAGAGTAAAGTCACAGTCTTCAACTTTTAATGAGGAACTCAAAGATCTTAAACATGTTTCCAAACAACGTCATGTGTTATTTGTACAAGATGTTAAAAAGGTTCGTGAAGACGTGAATCTTAAAATTCAAGAAGTTTGTGAAGATATGTCCAAAGAGATCGCTATTGTGCAGCGTGACTATGCATCTCTCAATCAGAATATGGATATCATTGCAGAAGCGGTGACAAATTTTGTCAAGTTATATGAAGCTTTGTGTCCTCACATTGCTCAAATGGCTACTCATGAAGTGAAAAGCTTAAATGAAATTACAACTTTGTTGAATGACTTAAAAGCTTTAATCTCGAAGCCTGGATCATCTCCTCTTACCAAACCAGAATTTTTATCACAAAAATTCCTTTTGTTTGAATAAGTTCTTCATAAACAATTGGGAACATTGTCTTGAATCGTCAGTCTCCTACCAACGAATGCCCCGCCTGTTGTTACAGGGGTACAAGGGGAAGAACATGTGAAGGTAGGTAAAAAAGAAGGTGCGTCTAGTATGATAAATGAAGAAGCGAAAGTAGTTGGCAAGGTCTACACAACCCAAATTCCGAAATCAAAACCATTTGTGTCGATAGCTGAGCCTGTATGTTCAATTGTTGTTACTACAAGGCTAATTACGAAAAGCATTGTAATTGGTTCAGCTAGTGAAGGGGAAAGTAGGTCAAAACCTAAGGAAACTCCCATAAATCAAGATAGATGGAAGAAGATTCTTGTTGAAAAATCCAAAGAAGAAAGAAAGGCTGAGATTGTGGCGGAAAGTAGATAAACAAATATAGATTGCAAGAATCCTGAGGCTTCGACAAAATGATCCTCCACATTTTAATAAAGGAGATCCAAGGAAGCTGCATAGTTACGAGAATATCGAAACTATGGTGTCTTTTAATGAGATGTAGGAATTATAGAAAACGACCAGGAAGATTTATGCAATTGAGAATTCTGACATGAATCAACTTGTTTTTCCCATCAACGAAATGTTGTTTCTAACTACACAATACAAGATGGTGGATAGATGCAAGAAGAAGGAGGATTTCATACACATGAAATTAAGGTTTCATGATATATTGGGAAAGGATCAGAAGGATGTTTGCTCCTTATTAAAAATTACTCCAGTGCTCGGGATATCGAAAGGGGAACTTTTCGAAAATATGCTACAAAATTTTGGATATCAGGTAGTAAGGACAAACAAGGTTCCTTTTGAGTTTTCTATTGCTGATTTCCCATTGATGAACTTCAATGACTTGATTCAAGTGGCATACATAATCAAGGATATTGATGTTTCAAAGCTTCAGAATACCAACAAAAAAAGATTTACATCTAGGATTTGGTCACATCAAACTGTTTATAGACAATTATAATGATTGTTTAGCATTGAGTGATGTGGAATTGGCAGCTTCAATTAGAAAAGAAATAACTGTTCCTCAAGAAAAAGTTTTAAGTGAAGCTAAGTTGAAGAAATATGTTGATGGTCATATATCTTTGAAGCCATTTGGTTTGATTTTTGCTGGAAAGAGTAAGAAGGGAAAGTCATCGAGGTTCTTCGTAACGATCCAAAAATTAAGGGTAAAAATTTCATTTTGAATATATTCAAAACATAGATATCATTTAACCCAAACATCCAAAACATCGTTAGTCTAAAAATTTATCAGAGTTCATCCCAATATCATTCAATGTGGAAAACATGGGTGTGTGCACTGCGATCAATTTGAGCCCTTCTTTTCCAATTCGATGATACCCGAAACCAATAAACAAAACTGTAAGCATGAAGCTTAATGAGTTCCCCAAAGCATACCCCACACAATCTACATAACCACATAATCCATACTAGCTATAACAGGTACAAAATCCATGTTAATCACATAAGCCATGCCTATAAACATATACGGATGTCGTGGGCTCGTCCCCAGGGTCTTACTCCAGGATGCCATGGGCTCCCCACATGGTCTTACATCTAAGTGAAATGGGCTCTCCTATGGTCTTTAATAGGAAAACCATGGGCTCTCCACATGGTCTTACATCCAGGTGACATGGGCTCTCCCATGGTCTTCCATGTAAATATCATAAAGACAATGAGCATACGACATGATCACTAGCATACCATGTATACATACATAACAAACATATCAATAGTGAATCTACCATAAATACTACAATATAGTAGGAAAGCCATGGGCTCTCCACATGGTCTTACATCCAGGTGCCATGGGCTCTCCTATGGTCTTCCAAACAAGCATAACACATATACCACTACCATACTTCCTAGCACATAACCAGCTAACATGCCACATAATAAAACTCCAGCTAGTGTACCACATATCATAAAATGGGCCGGCCTTGGTGCCTTGGACCCATTGGTATGGTGAGGAGACTCACCTAGCAGTGTTGAAGTCCTACGAATGCAAATCTAGTTGCTGGTTGACAGATTCCCGAACTAGCAACATCAAACAATACCCAATTAATATTTGGTTCCCAACACATAACCTTAAGTTCTTGGTGTAACAGGCTACATAACCCCTAACTTGGTTTGATTCAAGCCCAAGCCCAATCCATAGACCCAAAAGTCAAACTAGGAATCAAAGCCCAACATATGGCCAAATTTTCCAAATTGGGCCCATACCCTCATATGGGCCTTACCCTAAGCCTATCGACATATTCTAGTCCATATGATTATTCTTGGATGGCCCATTAATAATCCAATCATCAAGACCCAAAAGAAAGGCCCAACAATAAACCCAAATGAAATTAGAGTTTTCCCATGAAATGATGATTATGGTTAAGTGTCCCTGCTTAACCCATTAAGTCCCACTTGGCCTTAGGTTAATTGCAATTGGTTATCAATTAATATTTTATGTTCATTAAATAAGCCCGATAAATCCCAAATTAGGTTTTCATGGCATTAGGGCCAAATTAGGGTTTCCAACCCATCTTAGCCCAATAGGCCCAATAGTTAGGTCATTTGATCAATTAGGGTTCACTAGGCCCATTAGGGGTTCATTGAGCCCATTAGGGTTTCAAGCATCCTAACCAAATCAAACATGACAAGGCAAAGCACACTACCACCGGACACGGCGGCAGGAGGCAGCAGCCACCACCTCATGATGGTGGCTAGGGTTTCTTTCCATTTTTTCATTTTTGTTACACTGTACAACTCAAATATCCAAAATAAACACACACACACACACTAATGCTAAATATACATACACACACAGCCACCATGTGGTGGCCGGTTGTGGCGTATGGCGGCAGCCACCACCTCTCGGTAGCGGTGGCTCTTTTGTGAACTCCGGCTAACCAAAACGCCCACACACATACAACTAATAGAAATACAACCACACACACCAAAACACATAGTAAGACATGAACACAACCACCTTCTACAATGATCGGTGGCGGCGGAGGATGACAACAGCAGGTAGGTGGCGGAACGACAACAGTAAGCGGCGGTGATGACTCGGTACAATCAATAGGACAGAAAGTCTTGAGGAATAGGTCATGGTTTAGCCTTACCAGGGGTCTTCCATTCATGCATGGCCTAAGCTTCCTTGTTCACGGATCCTCCCGTCAGTCTCGGCGACCAACCAGTCGTTCTCAACGTCACTAGCGGTAGTGGGGATGAAACAGTAGCATATGTTGTGAAGGAAGCAGGCAGAAATGGCGGCGTTCGGACTTGGAGCGGCATTGATTCCTCAACGGATGGCGAAAGGTGGTGGCAGAATGGTCGTGGTTGTCGACGGGATAGTAGAAAAACGAATAGCAACACTAGGGAGGCGGTCGCAGCAACATCGGCCTAACGCCCGACAACGGTGTTTCTGGTGGTTCCACGATTCCCACACAATGGTAGCACCTCCTCGATGCTCCTTCGACCATCCACGATGGTCTTTGACGTCCGGCGGTTGGCTTCAGCGGCTTCAAGGTGGTGAAGGAAGGATGGTGGCGCCGGAGGTGTTAATTTGAGGGTGACGGCTGAATGGGGTATTAGGGTTTGGGTTACATGCAAACTTTGGGCCCATAATGACAGAAACGACCCTTCATTCTACTTTTTATTTTCAAGATTGATCCATATTTTTTACCTTTTAACCCTCATCATTAAAATTCATTACGGATCAAGTACAAATGTTACCAATCAGCCCCTGCTTCCATAAATTATTTACATATACGGTCCAAATAATACCAAACACACCTCGATTTCTAAAATCCCTTTCAAAATAGATCCCAAAATTACACTTTAACTCCCGAAGATTCAAATCTTGCCATTTGGCTTCCCGAAACCAACACCTCACTAATTATTATTTAATTTTGGGCTATAATAATATAAATTAATACTAAAAATTACGTCTCGAGGTTCTGGTTTATTATTTAATCGCTATATTTTAAACGGAATGTTACAACTCTCCCCCACTTAAATTTGATTTCGTCCTCGAAATTGTTTCTTATCATTTCGTACACTCCAGACAACTTGAACTACATGGCCATAACTACAAGCATACTCCATCCCTTCTAAAGCAACCAAAACCAACACCCTCATAGGGCTCTACAATATGAAGGTGAATGCATTCCTTGCAACATAAACATATTAAAAAAACTGAAATTTGTAGTATCGGGATGGTCTGGCTCCCTAGAAAATCGTTCATACCGAAATTGTTGCACTTAACTCCCAACTGACTACTCACTCCTGATAAACTGAGGTTCCTACTAGAAGGCAGAGTCATATACCAGATTTTCCCTACAGTACAGTTATATCTAACCGAAGCATAGATAATCCTTCGAAACAATGGACATCTAACTGATTGCTGAGCCAAAATACACTCAACAACCCAACGCGACCTCTGAAAGATACCTCGTATGACAATAAGTGTTGTAACTATGTTGCCACTCATGGCTCATCTAATCCTTATGATCCATTTGATCGTGATAGGCTAACAATTTGTTGCCACTGCTTCCAAGACAAAACATAAGTGCTACCAGAATAACTGTATTCTGACATCCTACCCAGTATCCTTTGACCTACTGTTCCCTGATCCAATTATATTGTGACCTACTAACAACCTTGTGAACTGGCCCACACTGGCCTAAGTCATCAGAACAAATTCGTGAATGCCACAGCTACCCTGCAGTATGTCTATATCTCCAACCTAATCTGGTCGTGGTGAATGCTACGGCTCCCCCATAGTATTACAACACTTTCCACACTATCTTACTACTAGTGAATGCTACTACTCCCCCGTAGTCTTACAAGACTTCCATCATAACACAACCATAGCACAATACCTTACCCCTAATCTATCGATTCAAAATTGTAACAGCCCGGAATTTCCAGGTATTTATTTTGGCTTATTTTTGGAAATTGTGAGTGGACTCGGCGAGTTGGAG